TATATATATATTTATTTTTTATTATATATAAATAAAAACAAATAAAGAATTAATAATTATATTTTTAATTTTTTATTTTTAAATATTATATTTTAATAATGTTTATATTATTAATATTTTTCCATAAATTTAATTATTAATATTTTTAAAAATATTTTATTAAATTTAATAAAAAAAATCATATTTTAAATTTTATTATAAATATAATAAAAAAATTTTAGTCATTTATAACTATAATTTTTTTAAAAAAATATTAAACCATTTATATATATAATATATGGGTAACAATAATTCTAATGATATAACTAAATCTAAACTTTTAAAAAGAAATATTTATTCTATTATATGTCCTTAAACTGGATGTTTAGATTAAAATTAAAATAATTTAATACAAAATTAAATTAACAAAGTTAGATATTCAAGATTATTTCGTAAAGTAAACTAAACAAAAAATATAATTTAATATTTATTAAAAGAATAAAATAAAAAAAGGAAAATGCGCATATAAAAAATGTTGAAAAATCATTATTATTTGTTTCGTAATATAATGATATAAGAATAGCTTATGGTGTATTTATTTTTTTATTTTTATTTTTTCAAAAAATAAACAAATTAAAGTAAAATGGTAGTTATATAAGTGATTTAATTAGCGCATATTATGAAAATATTTAAAATAATAAAGATATAAATAGATAATAAAATGAAATATAAAAATCTAATATTGTTACTATAAGAAATACAGCGTTTTTTGGTTTATAATAATAATATGCAAGTGAAGAAATAATAGATTTATTTGAAAAATAATAAGAATAGAAAAATAAATATTAATAATAAAAAGATATTAAAGGAGATGTTAGGATAAATATAACTGAAATATCTAATTAAAATAAACAAGAAAGTATATAATATATAAAACCTATAGTTAATTTTGAAATTTAATAATTATAATCAAGATTCGATATAGTAAATGAATATTATAAATAAAAAAATTAATAAATAGAATAATCTTAATGTTAAGTTTCGGAATAACAAATTTATTAATAAAATAAAAATTAATTACTAATTTCAAATTAAGATTAAGAATAAGAAATTGAAATAGAAAGGATAAAGAATTTATATAAAACTTAACTATTAAATTATTAAAAACAAAGAGAGCTTTAAAAATAAATATAATAAAAAGAAGTTTTATTAGATGAGAGTTTTAATAATACAGATGATGTTATTTAAATATAAAATTTAACAAATGATTTCAATAAAAATATATAATCTTTTTTAGTCTAAGAATAATAAGTAAAATTGGATTATTAAAATGAAATAAAAAAAAAATGAATATAAATATATTATTAAAAAAAAAAAAATTAAAAAAAAAAAATAATATAAGTATAATATATATAATTAATTTTGTTATATATAGATATTAATTTTTAAGAAAATAAAATTAAAAATATTTATGAAAATTAAAAGAAATAAAAAGTATATAAATATATATATTTTATTTATAAAAAAAAAAATAATAATAAAAAAGTAAAAAAAAAATTAAATAAAAAATAAATAAAATAAAAAAAAAGAAATTAAATTGAAAAAAATTTTAATTAAATAAAATATATTTAAATATATTATATATATATATATATATAGTTATATATTATTAAATATATTTTTACTATATAAATTTTTATTATAAATAATTTTTTATATATTTTCTATATGTAATTTTAATCTATTCTATTATATATAAGACTTTTTATATCTATTTTTTTATTATTTATTTAATTTATATGATCATTATTTTTCAATTACGACATTTGCAACATTTAATATCTTTTTATATTTGCCTTAACTATTAATATCAATTTAATAAATAACTTATATATCCTTTGTTAAAAAATTAGATAATTTAAAATATATTACTTACTTATCTACATAAATAACATTTTTCATCTTTTGCCCATAATATTTCAGCACATTCATAACAAATTCCTTTTTTTTATATATATTTTAAATCTAATATAATTTATAAACCTCCATGCCCACAAGGCATTAATACTACATCTTATTAATTAGAAAAACAAACTAAACATTATTCTTGATCTATATTTTCTTTTTAATTTATTTATATATTATCTATATCTTATAAATTATTAACAATTTTATTTTATTCATTCGAATTTAAATAATATTTTAATTTAGATATTTCACTAGATTTATTAGGAGATATAGGAGAACTTAAAATCTAAATAAAATTTTATGATAGTTCTTCTTAATTTTTATTTTATGATATTTCTTCTGTATTTATATATACTTTTTTATCATGATTTTTTTAATCTTCAGTTTTACATTATTATAAATTTTATATTAACTTTTTATTATTATTCCTTTAATAAATATTGTTGTTATTTATTGTTATTGATAATTAATCCTTTTATTAAATTTCTGCTAAATTTGATTACTTATGTACTATCTAACTTGCGCTTTTTTAATTTACCTTTACTCTTTAATCTGCTTTTTGAAAATAAGTAGAAGAGAATTAAATCTATTTTTATAATTTTTTTATAATAAAATTAATTTTTATTATATACTAAGAATTAGGGAAGGTTATTGTTTTTATTTAAATCTTGTTTTTCTAATTTTTTATTTATTTTTGGTTATTTTTAAATATTATTAGATTAATTATTTTCTAATTCAATATTTTGAATTTCTTAATTAAAAGTATTATTTTAAGAATTAAATTATCCGTTTTCATCAATAATATTATGACTTATTATATTTTCATGATTTAAGCCTGCTATGAATAACCTAATTTTTTTAAATAAAAGTTTAATAAATATAAATAATCAAAATAATCAAAAATAATATTTTCAAGAAAAATAAGCTATAAAAAGTATAGAAAATTAAACTAATCATTAAAATAAAGTTTTTTTTTTTTGGAAGTTATATTAAAAATATAACATTTCAATGAAAATTATTTTAGTCAAAAACATTTATTTTAGTTTAATACTATTTGAAAAAAATTATAAATCTATATAAATTAAAAATTATAATTTTTATTGCTTCTTTTCTTAAAATAGTTTATATTTTTAATATTAATAAAAAGTATACTTTAATTATTTTTGAAATAAAATACCATAAACTACTAAAATTAAACAAATTAAACTAGTATACATAAGAGTTTCTCTAATAATACCTTATTTAATATATATATATATATATATATATATATCTTTAACATAACGAAAATAAAATTACTTGAACTATGTGCAATAAAATATTATTTTACTGCTTAAAAAAGACAAAAATAACAATACAAATAACCTCCTAAAATAATATTACACCAAATTATTCCTTAAACTATTTGTTTAAATAAAAAATTATTTAAATAAGTTTTTTTTGTTAAAAAAAGAAAAACCTTAAGTTTTATTATTTTTATTGCAAAGTTTTTAAGATAAAGTAAATAAAGTCAAAACTGTTATTTAAAATAAATAAAATCCCAAACTAACAATAAAAAGCCAAGTAGGTAGAAAAACTAACTCCCATATAGATTTAACATATCCATCTAATTTTAAAAAAATAAGATAAAACTACAATACAATATATGATCTTAAAATAGCAAAAATCTTTTTATATAATTAAATTTCTTAATAAAAAAATAAAATTTTACAAATATATTATTTATTTAATAATATAAGGATTAAATTTAAATATAATTATTTACTATTTTCAGAAATTATTAAGTTTTAAGTTATTTTTATTTACAAACCCAAAAAATCAAATGAATTATTGGTAAATGTAAAATCCCATAAATAAATTTAGTATTATAATATAATAAATTAATTTAAAGGAATACCAAAGAGATTTAAATACTAACAATTTCTATTAAATAAATCATAGTTTATTTTTTTTCTAATTATTCTTAACTTTTAAAATAGAAAATGCTTAAAATAAAAAAAGCACAAAAAAAAATTATTATAAATACAAGCAATATATTTTCATAAATAATTTAAATATATGTGAAAACATAAAAACAGATTTGAATTAAAAAAAAATTAATTTTATATTTCATAACTTAAATGAAAATAATGCTAGCTAATTCTAATTCAAATTAACAAAATTATTATTAATTTTAATATTAAAAATTCTCTATATTTTATTAACTTTCACTAAATGCATTTTATTATTATTATATTTATACATTATCTTTAATCTAAATTACATTATTTTATTATGATTAATTATTCGATATAATATGATCATTTTTTTATTAATATTCTTCTTCAATTATATTTTAAAGTTAAAATAAATTTTATTCTATATTATTTACATTTTTTTCAAGGTTTATATTATAATGATCATTTATCTACTCTTTATCAGCAAAACATATTAATCTTCTATTAGTTGTAGTACCATCTTAATGTCTACTTGTTATTTAATCATTTAATTATTTTTTTTAATTCTAATAATAACTATTTAATGAACATGTGTTATTTAAACTTTTATCTTATAACATATTTAATAGATTTTTAAAATTATCTATATGTTTTGATTATTCTTTAATATTTTTTTATTAAAATTAATTTTACATATATGTATTATTATTATTTTTATTATTATTATTATTATTATTATTTTATTTATTATATTATTATTATTATTATTATTATTTTATTATTTACTCCAATTAATTTATTTTATTATTTTCTCATTACTTTTTATATTTTTTTTACTATATTAGTTTATTTAATTTAATGCTTATATTTTCATTTTCTATTATTTTTTGCTTAAACTTATTTTATATTTTTCAGTAAATTAAATTAATTTATTTTATTATTTATCTCTGGATTTTTATAAAATATTCATTAAAAAAAATATTATTTAATATTGTTCAAATATAAATAATTAGTTTTTTCTTTTAAATTTTTATTAATATTTCTTTTAAAAAAAAATCATTTATGAATAAATATTTTATATATATATTTTATTAACAAAAAATATAGGTTTAATTTTTATTTACACCTATCTTAAATTAGTTATTAACAAAAAATATATGTTTAATCTTTATTTACATAAAATTAAATTAATTTACTTGTATTTTTACAATTTTTTTTTTGATTATTTTAATCTTTTGTTATTTTTAAATTTTGCATTTAGAAAAAATATGTTTTTAAAAAATAAAATCAATAAAATAATATCTTATTAACAGAAGATTGTGTTTTTAATCTATAATTATTAAAGAGACTTGATTAATTTAACTATTTTAAATTTTATATATTCAAAATAAATAATATAAATTAAGCCTCAATATATATGCAATTCCAAAAGTAAATAAAATAATTAATTAATTTAATAAAAACAAATTAGTTTAACTTCATAAAATAAAAATTTGGTTAGGACCACTATATAAATCTGTGAAAATATACATAATTTTACATTACAAAAATTATAATCAATTTAACATATGATTATATTTTATATAAATATTAGTATTTATATTTTTTGATTTTCTATATAAAATTGTTTTAGACAGTTATTATTTTTTAATTAAATCATTAATTTCTATTATTTTAAAAATTAATATTAATATAAATTATTTTATTAAAAAACTAAATAAATAAATAAATATATTTAAATAATTTAATTTGATTTAAAATAATAAGTTTAAAATCATATCTTAAATACATTTTATCTAATTTATCAAAATATTAGAATCTAAAATTTCATTAATAATGTATATTTATAATATAAACTTTTTCAAATTAATAAAAAAAATCGTTTTTTAAAGTTTTTAGAAAACTTAAAATATTATCAAAAAAACTTAAAAAAAAAATAGAATAAGAAATAAATAACAGTATTTTTATATTTATTGATATTGATTTTATAAATGAAAAATTCGAACTAAAATATATAAAATCAACCACATAAAAAACATTTAATAAAAACAAACGAAAACTAATAATAAAATAATTTATCAAAAATACATGATGATGATATCTAAGGTTAAATTAAATACGAAGAAGAAAAAAAAAAACGTGAAAAAACTGCAATTTCAGAAAATTTAGGAAACGCAGTAACAGCAACAGGTGAAACAATAGCAAATGCAAGCACAAATATAACAGAAGGTGCAAAATCGACATCTAAAAATATAGAAACTTCGAAAGATACAGTAGTAGCATCAGGCGAATCAGTTGGAGAAGCGGCATAAAAAGTAAGAGAAGCAGGTGAAAATTTAGGAAAAGGAGCAGAAAAAATAACTGAAAATCTCTCAAAAGCTGCAGAAGGTGCAACTCATAAAGCAGATGAATATAAAGATAAAATTTTGGATTTAGACGGGGAAGATGGGGAAAATTAAGATGAAAAATTTTAAGATGGAGAATTTTAAGACGGAGAATTTTATGATGGCTAAAATTATTAATATGGAGATGGAGAAGATTATTAAATTGGAAATGTTGATAATAATGGAGAAGTTTATTCTGACGATTAAAATTAAGAAGAAGATGGAGATAATTAGGAACAAGATTAATAAAAAGATAGAGTAAATTAAGATGAAAAAAATGTATAAAATTAATAGGAGGGAAAAAAAAAAGAAAATAAGGTAGAAGAAGAAAAATAAGATATAAATGAAAAAGAAAGAGAAGATAAAGAATAATTAAATGAAAATTAATTAGAATAAAATCAAGAATAATAGGAATAATAGGAATAATAGGAATAATAGGAATAATAGGAATAATAAGAATAATAAGAATAATAGGAATAAAAGGTATAATAAGTAAAATAGGAATAAAAGGAATAATAGGAATAAAAGGAATAATAAGAAAAATAGGAATAAAAAGAATAATAGGAATAATAAGAAAGAAAATAAAAATAAGAATATTAAGAAAAATAAGATAAATAAGAAAAATAAGAAAAATAAGAAAAATAAGGAAAATAAGAATAATAGAAATAATAAGAAAAACAAAAAGTTAAAGAAACAACATAAAATTAATAAATAAAAGAAAGGATAAAATAAAAAGATTAAAAACAAAAAGAATACAAACCATAAAAATAAAAACCAGAAGAATAAAAGCTAGTATAATAAAGAAAAGAAGAAACATACAAAGAAGATGAATAAAAATAAAAATAAGAAGAAAATTTAAAACTATAATAAAATAAAAAAGCTTAGATAAAAAAACAAGTATAAGATTTAAAAAAATAAGAAGAACAAAAAAATAAAAAAAAGTATTAATAAATAAAATTAGTTGAAAATGAATAGATTAAAAAAATAAATAATAAAATATAAAATAAGAACAAATTAAATATAAAAATAAAATATAATTAAAAAATAATAAAAAAAAAATTAATAAGATAGAAGTATTATAAAAAATAAGATTTTAGTAAAATTATATATATATAAATATAATATATATATATATATATATATTTATATATATTTATTTATTTATTTATTTATTTATTTATTTATTTATCTAATTTTCTTTATTTTTTTTAATAAATAGTTGATTAATAAAATTAGATAAAATAAAATTTGCATTTAATTTAGTTAGATGAATAATAATAAATTGATTTACATTTGGTTAATTATTTTATCTGATTTTATTTAATATTTTAAAAGCATAATAAATGTATTTAAAATATTTATATAGTTATTATATACTATTAATTAAATTAAATTAAAACTTTAATAATATTTATATTACACCAATTCTATTAATTTTTTTTGTTTAAAAAAAAAAAATTGTACATTAAATATATAAATAAATATATTTTATTGCTTTATAGAACAAATTTGATTTTTTAAATTTAAAATAGTATTTATTTAAATGAGTAATACTATTATTTTTTCTATATTATTATGATATTTTATTTTATAATAATAATAATATTTAAATAAAATCAAAATAATATTTTATTTTTATTTTTTTCATTTTTGCATTTCTTTATTAACTTTTTAAGATATTTCAACTAAATTTTTAATTACACCTTATTTAATAATAAATAAATAAAATAATATTAAATAAATAAATTAAATATACTTTCAATTTCAGATTCAGAATTATTAGCAACTAATGCTTTTTTTCGATTCCATATTCTTATAATAATAAATATTTAAATAAATATTAGAATTAGTTTTAAAATATTTAATTTTTTTTTATATTTAATTACAATATCTTGCAATTACATACGGATCAGATTCTTCACATTCTCTTATAATAATAGGGAAATTAGGGTTGCTATTTTTTAAATTCCAATAATTATGATGAACATAATTTCTATTTAATTTATATTATTTTAAAATATATGATATGCACTTAATAATTATTACCTAACCCCTTCTGATCTTTATGAATTTTAACAAAAAACAAATCTTAATTCTCTTAAATTAGAAGACAATAACTTTTACCAAGCACTCATTTATTTTTTTATAATTATTAAAATTATTTTTTACTTAGAAAAAAACTTGATAAAATTATATTAAAATTTATTTATAATGCAAATATTATAATAAACAATATTGAAAAAATTAGAAGAAATATAAAAAATAAATTCTTTTTGAAGATAATAGATATAAGCAAAAAAAAACTAAATTATTATATATTTATGTATAACTAAATTATTTAAATATTAAAAATTAAAATATAAATATATATGTTTAAAATAAAAAATTTTTATAAAAAGATATAGATTTAAAAAAATATATTGCATAATAAAAAAATAGATTTTATTTGCCTAATTGATAGTATTAAAAAATTAAAAAAAAAGAATTTTTATAATTATAAATTATTAAATAAACATGACCAATTTTAATTTAAAATAAAATTATATATATGTATATATATATAAATAAATGTATATATTTATATATATATATTAATAATATATTAATATATTATTATATTAATTTATTAATATATTTATTTCATTTATATTTATATATCTATATATATATATATTTATTTTTATTTTTTAATCTAATATTGAAATTATAATTATTTAAAATTTTTTTTTTTTTTTTTGATATATTTTTTTTTTTTTTTATACATATTTTTATTAATTTTACATTTCTAATTATTTTTATTTTTTCTTCTTTTTTTTTTATTATTTACATTACATTTCTACAATTTTATAATTTTTTATTTATTATAATAGCTGTATATTTTTCTATTTTTAATCTAATGAATTACATTTTATATAAATACAAATTTATAAAAGAAAATTTTTTTTTCTTTTTATTTTTATTTTTTTTTCATTTTTATTTGCTTTTTTTATATTTTAATTTGAAATTACCGCCCTCTTTTTTTTTATGAGTATATATATATATAAATATAAAAAATATTTTTTTAATTATATATATAATTATATATTTATATATTAATTATTTTTTATTTGTATTTATTAACAATAATTATCTTTTTAATATATAGATTTTTAATTAAATTTTTAGTTTTTAATTTAAGTTTATATCAACTTTTTTAATAATTTATGTCTTAATTTGGAAAACTATTATTTGCTTATTTTTTATCTTAAAACAGTTTATTTAATATTTTTATTTAAGGAAGTCTTTATAAGAAGTTTCTTCCTTATTTTATTTTCTTAATTTCTTATTATTATTAATTAACTAATGATATATCTTCATTATCATTAAATTGATTTATATAAATATTGTTTTTTTTTTTTCGACTATTTTTTCAGTATATTAATATAAATAGTTTTTATCTACTTTGGATTCACTTTTCACCAATTTCCTATTTTTAAAAAATTATATTTCAATATAAAAATTAATATCTAATAATTATTTTACTTCTTAGTAGGAATTATATTCATATTTATAATAGGAAACTTTAAATCATTATTTTAAAATGTAAATTCGAATTAATTGATTAATTCACTTTATTTTTGATTTCTTGTGTTTATACTTGATGAAGAGTTTAAATTTTTTATATAATTAATGTTTTTTTAGTTCATTTAATTTTTAACTTTGATTTATTTTATATTTTATCTTTAAAAACGTCCAGTTTCTAATAAATTCATTATTAATGTTTTTGTTTTTATACAAATAATATATATTAATCTTTTAAGACTTATATTGAATTTATGTCTTAAAAAAATATATATTTATCATTCTATTTTAACTTTTAACATAAAATAGTCTATATAATTTATTATATAATAAAATAAGTATTCAATAAATAATAATTTTATTTTTAATGAAATTCTATATAAATATTTATTATTTTAATATTATTATATTTATATATAATAAATCTTTTAATATTTTCTTAAATTAATATATCAATCTTTTTTATGTTTTTTTGTTAAAAATCTTAAGAAAGGAGGAAGAAGAGCAACAAAAGCAATTCCCATTAACTTTTATTTTTAATTTTTTTTTTAATTTTTTTTAATTTAAATAACCATATAATATGTTTATGGTTTAAATATTTCATCCTTAGATTTGAAAGTGCTAATAATTTATCCTGCTTCGCAGGTTAAAAAATTCCAAGAAATTAATCCTATAGCAATACTTCCAATAAAATAATGAGGAGGAATTTATAAATGAGGGAAACTTATATTCATTGCCCAATTAGGAGATCCTGGAAAAAATCTTGTTGAAAGCATATAAAAGAAAAGATCTTTTTTATGTTCTTCTACTTTTTATCTTATCATATTTAGATGTTTTAAAGTTTCTTTTCAATTATTTCCCCGGCAAAGTATTTAGAAATATTAAAACAAATAAATGCTCCTAATGTATTGCACTTTTTATATAATTATTTTAATTTAAATATTATATATTAATACTCATTATATATATTTATTAAATACTGCTAGACAAACAGGAAAACCAACTTATATCCCAAATAATGCTCCTCCTAATAAATTAAAAACAAATGTTCCAGGAATACACCATGTCTATAAGCTTTTTTTGTTTATCGTTTTTTTTTTTTTTTTTAAAGAATAGCATTATTTAAAAAATAATTATATTTGTCGTTTACAATAAAAAATTTGAAGCGACGAATAAGAGTAAAATATAGTAATTCTAATCTAAATTGCTTGACATTATTTTTGAAAATATTTATGCTTTTTCAAAAGACGTAGGAAATCCTACATTTTTAAATCTTTTTATATTGTTTTTTTTTTATGTTATTTAAATAAATTTAATATTAACTCTGGAATAACAGAATTTAAATAAAAAAGAACTCCTATTTGAATTCCTAACCATGCCAGGAAAATAACAGGAATAAATTTCCAACTATATTTTTTAATTGTTTATTATTTCATTTTTTTAGGTTATTTTATATTATAAAAAATAGTTTAAAAATAAATATTTTTAAAATAAGTAAATCAATTATATAATCGATATTAAGTTTTATTTAGCTTATTTAATTTGATATTTTAATTTTAACTTGAAATTTTAATAATTTCTTCATTGTTATTTCATAAAGAACTTATTAAAATGTTAATTAAATTAAAAATAAATTTCTAAATATGTTAAGTAAATAAAAAATTTAAAAATATAAATAGATAAAATTTAGAAGATTATTTAAATTTAATTAAAATTTAATAAAATTCGTGATTAATAATCAAACTAAATTGTAAAATAATGACGAAGGAAGTTAAATAATAGAAATATAAAATGAAAGTAATGAAGAATTTAACTAAATATGAAAACACACACTACAATAATTACGAAAGTATAGAAAAAGCTATAAAAAATTACAAAAAGACGAATATTCATATTAGCTTAATTATCTTTTTAAATACATATTATAGATAAATTTCTAAAAGTTATTTTATTCATTTATATAAAAAATAAGCACAATACCATTTTTTCAACAATTTGCAAGATTAAATTATTAAATACTGTAAGGATTATAATTACTTTTTAATATTTATATTCAAATATAAATTAACAATAAATTATAAATAAAATCGATTATAGAATGATAATAACAATTAATAGAGTATTATTTATTTCTTTTATAATAAAATTATATATATAAACTTTATTAAATTAAAATTGAAGTGTGTTTAAATACAAATAATTTAAAATAACTGATTGATAAATATTTAGATTATGTATTAAAAATCTAATAACCATTATATGTTAATAAATATTAAAAAACTAAGTCTTATAGATAATGCTGATTAAGATAGTAAGTATTGCTATTATTACTGTTTAATGTGGTTTATTTTGTATTTTTTTTGAAAAAAATATATAAAAAAATGACGAAATCCTTTTGTTTTACATTTTTTTATAGATAGTGTGTTTTTAAAAAAAATTCTATAAAAATTAAAAAAAAAGCTGTTAAAAAATAATATTTTAAAATTTAATAAATTGTAAGTAAATAAATAAATGAATATGCATTTAAGAAAATAAATATTACAATGATTTAGAAAATATATAATTAAAAAATAAAAAAAATTAAACTTTTGAAGAAAAATTAATATTATCTACATTATGTATAATTAAATTTATAAACATAATATATTTTTAATTATTAAACTTAAAAAAAAGTTTTATCAATATTTTTAAAAATAATTTATTATCTTTTTATTAGTATAAAATTTAATTATTTATTTTTTTATATTTACTTAAAATGTTTTATATGTGACCAATTAAATTTTTAATCATTAATTATTTTAGACTAATTATATTATATATTAATTTTATTTTTAATTTTTATTTTACTTATAAGTTAAAATAATAATAATGGAAAATGTAAATAATATCATTATATTTTTTTAATTTTTTAAAAATTAAAGAAAGGATAAGTAAGACAAAACGAATTTAATAAATACTTAGAAAAAAATAAAATTACTGATAAATTTACAGATATATTTGTTTAAATTTACGATTAAAAATGCCCAAAAGATCCTATGCTGTAATTTCATTTATATAAAAAAATATTATATATATATACTATTTTTTTTTTTAGAATTGTAAAAGAATAATTTGGATCAAAATTTTTTTTGTAATAATAGGAGATAAATCACAAATTATAGAAAGAAAATGAAAACCTCAAAAAAGAATTAACAAAATTAAAAGATTAAATATAATAAATAAAAAAAGCAAAATGAAATTAAAGAAAAGTTATATATTTATTTAATTATTTAAAAAAATAAATGAAATTTAACATAAATTATATTAAGATTATAAATAAAAGCCATAAATTAATGATTTAAATTAGAAGTAAATGTAAATGCAAAACTATAAAATAAAATAAATTAATATAATTATATATTTCTTATTACAGACAGAGTTATTAATAAATTAATTATTAATTTTTTTTTTTTTTTTCAAGATATAAATTTAATTTAGCCACAAATATTTTAAATTTATAAAGTATCATCAGGTTTTTAACTTAAAACTAATTATTTTAAAGGCGCATTTTAGTGGATTTTTAAAAATTTGTTTTTAATATCAATAATTTTTTTATTATGTAAAGTTTCTTTATGGTAATTTTTAAGACAATTCATATTCTTATATTTATTTTCTATATATGGTAATGGTATTTTGCTTGAAATATTCTTATAAGGTTAACATTAAATTATATTATCATTTGATATATCTTTTTATATAGACATGAAGCAATTTTATTAATCTTAAACCAAAATATGTGATTATTTATTCGAAAAATTATTAAAAAATGATTACTATTTAGTAATTTATTTAAACAATAATTATTTCTAATCAATTTTTTAAAAATTTTTTTAATTCGAATTCTATTTTCTTGGGTGTGAAAATGAATTATATTCTTTAACTTATTTTTCGAATTAAATAATATTTTAGGTAGTATCTGTTAAATTAAAGTATTTTTAATCCAGAATACAGGTTTCAGATTTTTTTTTTTATTATTTTACCTTTAAAGCATTATTATTTTAATTTTAGAAAGTAAAATGCATATGCTAAAGCCTTTATTCAGTAATCTTTTTAAGGTTTTATTGAATTGAAAAATCACTTTTTTATTATGGATTTTTATATATTTTAATCAAATTAGATTTTATATTTTTTAAATCTAAACTAACTGCATTTAATTCAATTAGTTTTTCTTAATTTTGATTATTTTTTTCGATTTAAAACTTGATATGGGAATGTCTATTTTCTATTTTTTATTTATTAACTTCTGAGAAATTATATTCCTATAGTTGCTTTTTACATTAAAAATCATACATTCTCTATTTAATTTAGGTTTTACGGTTTTATATTGCTATTTATAATTATTCTTTTATTTTATTTTAATTAAATATATGTTTATGTTCAAAGTCTAACTTAAACTATTCATAAGTTTTAAATATATGAAGATTATCTATAAATATCTTTTTTTATCAAAATATTAATTATAAATTAAAAATTATAATTTTTGAAATATACTTTTTTATCTATCATAAATATTTCAGCTTCTTATGATATTATTTTGGCATTATATTATCTTTTTGAATTTTCTAAAAGAATTTCTTCTTCACCAAAAAAACTATTTTTAGTTAAAATAACTATGCTTAGCTTAAATTAACCATCTAGTAAATCTTTATTTTATTAACTTTTATTTAACTTATATATTCTTGAGTCTTTAATTTTATTACGATTTTTTAATTCAAATATATTTTCTTATTCAATTATTTTATCTAAATTATATATTTTTGATATTTCAACTTCTCCTTATTTTATCAAATACAGTTTTTCAGAATATTCATTTTCTAAATATAAATTATTCTATTTTATTATTATTATTATTTTTTAGTAAAATATATGAAGAAACCAACATGATTTTATGCTTAATTTTTTTAATATGTTTTTTTATTGATTTTGGTTCAAATCAAAAAATAAAATAATAAATATGCAATTGTATAATCAAATTAAATTATTTTTAAAAAAATCTATTAAAACAAATGCAAACATAAAAAATTGTAGGTTTTTTAGTATTTTTTCATATTATTTATTAATTTTTTTTGTAATTTTTTTAAAAACAACAAAAAAAACAAGAAAAAATTAATAATAGTCTTTTTTATCTTTTGATTGAGTTTTAAAAAATAAAAAACAATGAACAAGTAATATACATATACTTATTCATATTTTTTGTTTTAATTTTATTTTTAAAACTCCAATAAAAAAAAAAAGGTTATAATTATCCATTTTTTCTGGCTTTTTTTTATTTGTTAGTACAGTATTTTAAAAAATTACAAAAAAATAATAATAATATATAATATAAAAATAACTCCTATAGAGAATTTCTAAATTTTCATAAAATGAAGAATTGACAATAATTAAGAATCACTTTCCTTACTTAAAAAAATTAAATTATTATAAAAATATCAAACGGTCCTTTGTTACATATTCATTATATTTTCCCATTATACCTTCAAATGCTTATTTACTTAAAGTCATTAAGTACGAATCCTATCTGCATATAAGGGTAGCAGTTCTTTTTTTATTTTATAAAATAAAAAAGACTTAAGAATAATTTTTTATTTTAATAAAATAAAAAAGATTAAAAAATACCTTGTTTAATTGGTTAGCAGAGCTATTTCTCCAAAAGAATCACCTTATTAATATATACTAATTAAATTCATTGTTGGAAGTACACTTTTTAAAGCTTGTTATTATTGGGAAAATGTAGGATTTTAACTAAAGTCTATCGATAAATGTATTTTTTTGTTTGCGTTTCGATTATCTGAAACTAATCTAGATATTTGTAAATAGAATATATATGTTTTTTATTATTAGTACAATTTAAAAAAAAACACTTAAGTAGTTGATTTTGGTCTTGCTTCTTGCTTTTAAATAATTTATTAAGCATTCAATTTTTTAATTTCTAAATCTTAAACTAGACAATAAAAAGATCCTTTTAAATTATAAATATTTTTTTTTTAAATAAAAAACAAATAAATAACTAAAATTTAAATATAATAATTAAACCTTTTAATACTATATAATAAAGGTGTCCTTAATCACCTTTTTTTATTAAAAAATAAAAATATTAAAATATTAAATAAAAATTTTATATAAAAAATATCAATATACCAAAATTAAATAATATTTCATTTTTTTAACAAAATTAAAGTTTAAGTGACTAAAATAAATTTTTAGAAATAGTATTAATTTATAATAAATCTTTTCTTTATTGAAAAAAACTTAAACTCTCAATGACTTTATATAAAACTTCTATTTCTTTCTTTGTTTTATATTTACTTTACATTAAAATCTAAATTACTGCCTTTTAAGAAAAAAAAATATATAAACTTAATTTTTATTTTTATTTTTATTTTTATTTTTACATTAGCATGATCTTAATTTTTCAAAGATATTTCATTTGCTTAAAATATATATTCAGGTACATGAAATACTGCTTATCTTCTTTTGATAAAGTTTTGGTTTAAAACAAATTATTTAGCTTTTTATTCATTTTAATAGTCCTCACCAATAGCTATTGTCTTTATTCTTTTAAAAAATGCACTTTTTTGTAAATTTTAGTTATTATTATCTGACTCAGTATCTGAAATATTATATTCTAAACTTAAATGTCTATCATGAAAATTACTATCAAAAGATTAATTACAAGAGATAGAATACTAACTTTTCATAGTAAAGTCTTTTTTACTTTATTTAATAAAATTTATTTTTCTTTAATTTTAATTTTAATTATATTTATAATTTTTTATTTTTATTGATTTTAAAAATGTTTTTATTTTAAAAAAACTTATGGTAAATATGATAAATATCAAATTTGTTATAAAAAATAATTAAATATTATTAATTCTAATATTATTATAATAAACTTATTTTATATAACATTTTTTTTTTTTTTTTTTTTAGATTTATTATAATTTTTTTTTTTTTTTTTTTTAGATTAATTTTTATTAATGAACAATTATAATTTTATAGTTTTTATTAATTTTATTTTTACTCTAATTATTTAAATATTTAATAACAAAAAATATCCTTAATTAAATATAAAATTAAAACAAAATTTATTTTAGATATTATTTTATTATTATGCTATTTTATTTTTATTAAGAAAGATTTAATTTTTATATGTTGATATGTTGTATAGTATGGTTATTCAAAATTATAAACTTAGATTTTGCTTCTATATGTTCTTTTTTCCATTCTTTAAAATTTATAATTTTAATATAAGAGATTAAAAGCTAAATTAGATATTTAGTGATACAAATTTTATTTTTTATATTAAAATGAAAATATTTTTTATAAAGATATGATTATATCCTTATTTTAATAATCATTAAAATTTTAAAACTTTTTTTAATTATTAATATCCTAATTATAATTATAAATAAAATTAAATTTATTTCTTATTTAATTATTTATAGTCGAATTTTCTAGACCTTATTTCTAACTATTCTATTAATATCTATTTTATAAAAAAGTATTTTTAAAAAAATCACTTATATTTCTATTTTGATATAAGAATATATAAAAGGGTTCTTTAAATAATAAATAAAATTAAGACATTGAATACTCGTTACATAAAATTAAACGAAATTACATTTATTTTTGGTTTTTTTATTTTTAATTATTAATTTCAATCATATATATGTACATCATAATTGCATCTTTCTATTTAAATGATTCTCCAATTCCGATAATTAAGTAATATGTATTCTTAGAAATACCTAATATTATAAAAGTAATCCACATAATATTTTACCTTTTACTAAAAAATATTTATTTTATTCATTACAAAAAATAATTTAGTTTCATTAAATTTATCTTATATTCCTTAAATTATTTTACAAATATAAATTAAAAAACAAATAAAAATACTTCTTCAGAATGTCAATATATAATATTTTATATTTAAAGCTCAATAAAAAAAATAATAAACATTTTATAAAAATATTTATTTATAAAATGAGTAAATAAATATAAATAACTAAATTAATTAAATCTATACAATATTAAGCTTTTTTATCTATATAATATCTAAAGAATTATGATATATAATCAAACCTATGTTTTTATTTTGAATTTTTGAAATAAAATACACATAAATATTATATTTTGTTTACTTATTTGTTATTTAAAGAGAAACATTTTAATTTGATTTATTTAAAGCATAATTATTAATAAAAAAATTAAACTTACTAATTTATATAAAAATGTAGTTTATAAAAAGATTAAAAATATATTAATTTTTGTAATAGTATCTAAAAAATTATTTATATATTAATCTTATTTTAATTATTAATTAACTATAACTAATTTAATTATATTATATTCGATTATAATCGGTTATTATATTAATTATTTATATGACATTAATAAGGTTATTTATTAACTTATAATATATTGTTTTTCTAATGAGTTACCATTTAAATTATTAATTTTACGTTCTATTTAAAATATGTATTTTGTAATATTTAAATTAAAAATTAAATAAAAAATATAAATGTAGTGTTTACAATTTTATATTTATTTAAACTTAATGTTTTAATTTTTACTTTTAAAATTTATTGAAAATTATAATAGATTAAATTATTTTTAAAAATGAGTAATAATAATTAATATTTTATTAAAAAAATATTAAAATAAATTAAAATTTTCATTTAATTTTATTATCCTTCTACTAAATTATTGATAAATACTTAAATATATATTATTAAAATATAAAAAAATTAAATTAAAAATAAATACAAGTATTCACACATATTTCTATAAATCAAATTATATTTTTTGAATCATATAACACTTTCATATAAGAAACTAAATAAAAAAAATATTAAAAAAAAGTAAATCAAAATATTAAAAAAAAAAAAAAAAAAATTGAATTATATAATAAAAAAAAAATGTAACAATAAATTGATTTATATGTTTTTGATTTTGATCATACAATAATAAATGTCAATAGTGATACTTTTATATATAATTTATTCCCATAATAAACACTTCCTTAAAATCTAAAATAATAATATAAGGTTGGCTAATGGACATAATTTATGAATTTAACATTAGAGTGCTTAAAAAAAGATCATAATATACCTAGTTTAAAAATAAAAGAGTAAATCGAAAAAAGTCAATTAGTACCAGGAATGTTAGATTTATTTAAAAAAATAAAAGAAAAAAATGGTGAAATTATAATATGTAGCGATTCAAATAGCAATTTTATTAATTGGATATTAGAAATAAATAATTTAACTGATTATTTTGCATAAGTGTTTACAAATACTTGCTGTGTCTTGAATGATTAGTTAGTTGTAACTCCTTTTACTTCAAATCATTAATGTTAAAATTGTGTTTTAACCCCAAATATTTGTAAAGGAAAGATAATAGAATAATATAATTAGAATAATAAATTTAAAAATATACACTATTTTGGAGATGGAGAAAATGACTTTTGTCCTATTTTGAAATTAAAAGATTAGAATTCTACTGCTTTTATAAGAGAAGGATTTGCTTTAGAAAAAAAAGTAAAAAATTTTTAATTAAAAAACAACTAACTAAAGTGCAATGTTATTTTTTGGAAAGATGCTTATGATATTTTGAGATAAATGATTTGATTTTTCTTTAAAATAATATATCTATTTAATATATAAAATTATTTATTTTATAAATCAGAAAAAATATATTAAAACAATAATAATTTATGTTTATATATTAATAAAATATTTAAAATATAAGATATTATTATATAAAAATAATTAATATATATATTACTTAAAATTAAATATATAAAACGTTTAAATGAATAATAATTTTAAATATTTTTTTTTAAAAAATATATATTTTGATAAATAATAATTAATAATATTATTTAAAAAATAATAAAATAACCATTTTATTATTTAAATATTGACTATTGACTACAAAATAATTAATCTAACCAAAATAAATACAATATTTTAAATATATATAATCAAAAAAACAAATATAATAAAATTTTAACTGTTATTTTGTTAATAAAAATATAAATATGGATATTTAAAATAATTTTACAAAAGAAATAAAAAAACGACTTTCAGTGTCTAAGAATATAATCCATAAACATTAAATTGAGTAAAATCACATAAACTAATTATTTAATTAATAATAAAACGAAGATCATGAAGGAAAAAATAATTATTAAAAATCCAATCTGGCAATATAATTAGAATCTGACTAATAAGAAAGAAACAAAACAGAAACTGATTAAATAAAAAGGCTTGAGACTGATTTAACAAATAGATTAGACACTAATTAAGCATAAGAATTAATAGAAAAAAAAGAAAATAATTCGCAATAAGAAAAGTCCCAAGAAGTACTATAAATAATTGATTCAGAATTCGATGCCATAGGAGGTTTAGAAGATGGTTTAAAAACAAAAGCTCTTTTTTCGAGATATTTATTAATAGATTAAGCCGTTTCTGTGTTTTCATTTAGTTCTGTAATAATAGCAGTTATAGAATATGATTTAGAATTCGATGAAAGAGAAGAATTAATAGCTTTAACAATGTTATGGATGACAACAATATTAACATTATAGTAAAAAAAACAAAAAAATTTCGAAAAATATATTTAAAATATAACAAAAAAAAAGTTATGTTAATATTAACAATTTTTAGATATTAAGCCAAATTAGAATGGTTAAAAACACGAAAAATAATAGGATTGCGATAAAATATAATATCAGCTGGATATTTAAAGCCATTATTATTAGAATTAATCATAACATTAATACATCCAATGCCCTGGTTGTGGAAATAAAGATTATACTTTGACAATGAAGCTTCAGGAGATCTATAAATGTATTATCATGCAAATGAAATTTTAACTTTATTTATGCTTTTGAGAGTTTACTTATGATAAGGACATTAATTATTATGTCTGTTTGGTATAATAATAGAACTTAAAGAGTTTGTAATATGTATGCGAGTGAAGCCAACCTTTTATTTGTAATTAAATGTATTTTGAAAATAAATCCTTATACTCTGGTATTTTCTGCTATGTCTATTTCTGTTTTTTATTTTGGATTTGCTATTAGAATATGTGAATCTCCTTTATAAAGGTTTTTTTTTTTTAATTTATATATATCATTTTTATTTTTAGAGATAAAGATAATTAATTATTCCATAATATGCTTAACTCTATGTGGAATATTATTATTACTATGACTACTGTTGGATATGGAGACTATTTTGCTCAAACTCACTTAGGAAGATTTGTGATTTTCTTTGTTTGTATGTGGGGTGTCTTTATTGTATCTATGATGGTTATTACTCTTAATAATACTTTAGAAACATCAAATTTAGAAAACAAAGCTATTGTTGTTGTTTAAAGACTATAAATAAAAAATGAAATGAAATAATATGCCGCTTTTGTTTTAACTTCAACTATAAAAACGTATTTATTAAATAGAAAATAATAACTTACTAAAGATTTTAAAAAACAGTATACATTTTATGTATTTTTTAACTTTTTATTTTTAATTATATTTTTTTTCTTTCATATTAGCTTATATAGCTTTTTTAAATTTTTTTATTAGATTTTAAATTAAACTTAGATTTTATTTGCATTAATTAAAAATTGCTTAGAGATAATATAGAGACATGACTGATGAAAATTTAACTGAAGAAATGGTTTTTTATTTTAAATTAACTTTTTTTCATTTATTATTTAATTTTTTAAATCAAGGGAAGATAATTTAATTATATGAGAGATTATTTTTAATCTTTAAATTCTAAATAAAATGCATATTTAGACTTAAACTTATAATTAATGAGGCATTTAAAAGCAGATTAAAAAGACATAAGTTAATATTAATAAAAAGTTAAAATTTAATATAGTGTTAAAAAAAGAGATAAATCAATAACAAATACAAATTTATAATAAAAAAATTCATAAAATGTAGTTGGATCTATAAAAAGTATAGAAAAAAATTTCTTAAGTTAAATCTTACAAAATAATTAGTGAAATACTGCCTAAATGAAAATATGATTTTTAATATAAATAATAAAAATGGATTTGACAATATAATAAATATATTAAATATTAATTACTTAAATTTTTCATATATTAAAATCTTTATAAATTTAATAACCTAAAATATAAATTAATTATTTAAGTAATTAAACAAATAAAGAAAACAATAATTAATAATACTTTATTTATATATTTTTTATTATTTTTTCTCTATAAATATTCTATTTTTTATTTTTATTTATTTTATATGGTTTCTTAATTTTAAATTAGAGTTCCATTATTCAGGGTTTTAAAATTTTTGTATCTTATATGTTGTTATTTTTCAAGAACTTCATTGTCTAATGTAAAATAATATAGAAAAAATTTTAGACGAATACTATTAAATTAATAAATCATTTATAATTTGTAAAATTATTTATATATATTTTGATTATAATGTACATTAATATAGAGTAAGGTTTCTAAAAAAAAAATATGTATTTTTTGTATTAATTTATAATTAAAACTATTATTTTTTAAGGTCTTTTTGCATTAATTATTATTATATTATATTTTTAATTTTTAATTAAATAAAATAATTAACTTTTCATACTTTGGATTTATTTAATAAATAATATAAAAAAAATTATTTTTTATCATGATTTTTAAACTTTTTAAAAATTCAGATTCTATATTAATTTTTTTCTATAATTTTATAGAAAAATAAAATCTATTTATCTTCTAATAGTTCTTTTATGTTTACTTCTTTATTTTATATTATTAAGTTTTTTATTTTATAAATATTAATATTCATATTATTTAATAAAAATTTTATTTAGATATATTCTTAAATTTTAAATAAATATTTTGTCTATTTTTTTTGTAATTTTATTTAAAATTAAAAATAAATTATTAATAAATAAAAAAATAAAAACCCTATACCTTTATTTATTTTGACTCAGTTTTTTAAAAAAATAAAATAAGCAAATCATATAATAATTTCTATCTATTTAATTTTTAAATTTAACTATCTAAGTTTGATTTTCTGCTGTTAAAGTTAAACCTTGGTATGTTTAACATCTAAATATTTTTGGATTTAAATAATAAAAATAAACATTTATAACAACTGTAAAACAGAATAAAAGAAAATAATAATAATAAATATATATTTTAAAAATTAATTTTTTTAAATTATAGTAAAAAAATACAAAATACATATATATTTTTTTTTCTTGAAATTAAAAATAAAAATATGGGGTGTTGCAAATCATTTGAAGAAACCTAAACAATTGAAAATGGTTAATAATGTTTAGATTATTTAACGATATCATCTTTTTCATAAAAATCAAATAAATCAGCTTATAATAAGAATTAAATTCCTTTGAATTTGAACATTAAAGATTCCAATTATATACTAGAAGTAAAAAAAAAAAACTTGAGATAAAATAAATTAAAAAGGAAAAGGACTTATTTTAAAATCCAAATTCATTAGAGATAGGATATTTAAATTAAAATCAAATTAAATACTCATAAAAAGATTTATTTTCTTAATATAAAATCGGTAAATATTTAGGTTAAGGCGGTTTTGGCACAGTATGCGTAGTAATTCATAAAACAACAAAAATAAAACGCGCATTAAAAACGATAGGTAAATGTCAATTATCAATAAAAGAATAAATAAAAATACTTTAAGAGATAGAAATAATGAAAGAAATAGATCATCCAAATGTAGTAAAAATACTCGAGCACTATTAGGATTAATAACATCATTATTTAATTATCGAGTAAAAATTAAAAAATTAAATAGACATATTTATAAAAAATAAAAAGACATTTAGAAGGAGGTGACCTTTTTAATCGAATAGTTAATTTAAAATAATTCAATGAATAGTAAGCAAGTGAATATATGCGATAAGTGCTAAGTGCAATATCATATTGTCATTCATTAAATATATTACATTGTGATTTAAAGCCTGAGAATATAATATTTTAAAGCAAAAATATAAAAAATAATACTTTAAAAGTAATAGACTTTGGTTATTCAATAAAAACTTAACAAAACGAAAAAATTAAATAAAAATCAAGAACTTTAAACTACTAAGCTCCTGAAGTTCTTAAAGAAAATAATTATGATGAAAAATGTGATGTTTGGTCTCTTGGGATTATTCTATTTACAATGCTAGTTGGATTTAATCCTTTTTAAGGAGATACTAGAGATGAAATTTTATAAAGTATTGAAGATTTTAAATATAAAAGTAAACTTGATAATATTAGCGAAAATGCAAAAAAATTAATCCTCTAAATGTTATAAATAAATCCTTGTTAAAGAATTAGTTCCTAAGAAGCTTTATAGTAAGATTGGATTAGACTTAAAATTAAATAAAATGTTCTTAATGAAAATTTATTATAAAATTTAACTATTTTTTCTTTTAAAAATTAGTTAAAAAACGCTATTCTTAATATTATATGTGTGCATTTTTTACCTTATAAATAAAGAAAAGCTTTAATGTAATATTTTCAAGAACTAGATTGCAATAAGGATGGGATATTATCTAAAAATGATTTAAAATATGTTTATTTTAAAGCATTTAGTAATAATTAATAAAAAATTGAAAATTCAATATAATTTAAAGAAAGCTTAAGCTCTTCTTAATTTTCAGTTAATTGTGCTAATAAATAAACTATTTTATAATAAGAAGACATATTTGAGAAAGTATTCGAATATTTTGATGATGTATTTTTTGTAAGTTCTTTTTTTATATTTATAATTTTTTTAAGAATAATTAAGTATTTATAACTAAAGTTTGCTTAGAAAAATTAATTTAGAATACTGTTTCTTAAAGATAATGGGATTTTATACTTTAGAAATGTAACTCAAATTAAAGTTTAGAGGTATATTATTCTATTCTATTATTATATTATTATTTTTATACAATTTTTTAAAACATTTAAATTATATTTTTTTTAAGATTAATCGCAATTAATTTATTAATTTAATTAAAAAATGGCTTAAGAAAGATATATATAAATATAAAAACTATTTCGAATTAAAAAAACAGGAAATTAATTTTAATACTTTACAAAATAATTAATAATGATTTTTTTTTTAAATTAAATAAACTATATTTAAGATTAAATATATTAAAATACATACATATAAATTAAAAAATACATATAAAAATTAATAATTTATATATATTTTTTTTTAACTTCTATTTATTTTACAAAAACTCAATCAACAAAATACCATTATCCATCAATTTTTTCTCGAATTTTTTAATTTTTTTGATTGAGTTTTTATTAAAAAATAGAAACAATAAATATTAATAAATAATATATAATACAAGTATAATCTATAAAAATATTAACTAAAAAAAGAATTATAAAATAATAATATTTCAAATTAAAATTAAAAAAATGATAAAAGATTACGATTATTTATTCAAGCTAGTAATAATAGGAAATAGTGGTGTTGGAAAATCATCATTATTGCTAAGATTTAGTGACGATTAATTTAATGAAAATTACTTGACAACAATTGGCGTCGATTTTCGTTTCAGGACTTTAAATATAGATTAAAAGCAAGTCAAATTATAAATATGGGATACTGCTGGTCAAGAAAGATTTAGGACAATAACTTCTGCATATTATAAAGGAGCGGATGGAATAGTTATTGTATATGATGTTACAAATTAGAGTTCTTTTGATGATATTGATAAATTTTGGATAAGTGAAGTGGAATCTTATGCTGAAAAAAATGTTGAAGTTTTATTAATAGGTAATAAAATAGATCTTAATGCTTAAGTTTCCAATGAAAAAGCAAAAGAATATGCTAAAAATAAAAATATGGAATTTTTCGAAGCCTCCGCTAAAACTTCAGACACAGTATAACTTGCTTTTTTAACTTTGACAAGGAATCTTATAGCGAAGTAACAAAAAAATTAAACATAAGCATAAGGTTAACTATAAAAATAAAATAATAATAAATCAGATTTTAATTTAAATAAAATAAATATGGAATAAAATTAGAAAGGAGGATGTTGTTGAAAATAAAATAAAATATTTTTTATTTAAATTTTTTTGTTTTGTTTTACATATTTAATTATAAAAATAATTAATATAAATTAATTTATATATTATTACACACAAAAATTATTTAAAATTATATAAATATTCTTTTAATATATTATTGTATATTTTTAAAAGTAAAAACTAAACGACTTATAAATAATAAAATTATTAACTTTTTATTTAAAACATTAATTTTAGTTTAATTATTTTTTTAAAAAAGTGCGGATTACATTTGAATATAATGCTTTAAAATATTACAAATTATATATTAAAAATAATATTATGCATCATTTTTAAAAAAATATAATATTTAATAACATTTAACTAGATTTCTGATTTTTAATATTTTTAAAAATTAATTAAACAAAATAATTATATATTTATAAAAAGTATATATTTAATGTATAAAATCGAATTTTCTAAAAAAGATTAGAAATTAAAAGTTATGAGAATAAAATATTTTATTATATATAAGTTATTTATATATTTAAATATAAAAATTTAATTCTTTTAATAATTATTCATAACTATTTATTGACTTAGTTTTATTAATTTTCGTAAAATAAATTTATTTACTATACTATTTATTCTTAGTTAATATTTTCAATTTATGTTATATCTATCTAATTATACTTTTTTATAAAAAAAATGTAAAATATTATTATAATTTTTTAAATACTTTTAATAAATATAGAATTCCTTTGGCATATTTTTAATAATCTTTTCCAATATCCTAATCAAGAGCTTTTATTTTTTTTTCTATATAAAGACACAACTCTTATGATTATTTTTTTTCTTATTAATAGTTTTTTTATAAAAATTCGCAAATTTTTTAACAAATTTTTTTTCTTAATTATTAATCTTATTATTTTTTTTCATTAATTTATTCTTTTTCTATTAACCTATTGTCATTAATATCTTCTAATTTTTAAATATCTTTTAAATTCATTGATATTAAAGAATTTTAACTTATTTCTTCGTATTAAATATTATCTAAAATATTATTATCTTTTTTTTTATTTTATAAATAAATTTTTATCTATATATATTTTACTTAATATTTATTCTTATTTTTAAAATTCATTAATATCTCCTAATGTTTCTAAAATAATTTTTTATTTTATATTTTATATTACTAAATACAGTTTTTCTTTTAAATTTTAAAGTCCATTATTCTATTAATTAAAATTTCAATAAAAAAAATTAAATTTATTTAAAATAAAATAAATAATAATTACTTCTTTTAAATTATTTATATAATTATATATATTATGAAAAGACTTTCCTATAGTAAAATTAAATAAGTCAATACATTCAATAGTTTTTAAATCCAATTTTTCACAAATATACTCTAGTTCCTGTAATCTATCGTTTTCAATTTTTTATTATTCTATTTATTCTTATATTTAATTTAGCCTATTTTTTAATAATCCTAGATTATTAATTTCAATCTCTTAATGTTTTTTATCATCGATTTCATTATTATTTTATTATTTTCGAGGTTTTGGATATTCAAAAGATTTTTAATTATTAAATTTTCGATTTTAAAGATTTTAAGAATTATTTTCAATGCTTTAAATTATATTCAAGTTAGAAATGTTTAAATCTTCATTTAATATTTGAAGTTCTATTTTATTTTTTTTGTAATTTTTTTTGCTTTAATTTTTATTTTAAAATTTGCTGTATGTTTTTTATCCAACTTTTAAGTTATTTAAATATTTAGATTTTTTAATTTAATTTTTTTAAGTTTGCTTTTTATTGCTTTTTTCTTAATTTTGAATATCTTCAATTATTATAGAACTTGTTTAATTAAAAGAAGAATACAAATTGATATCCTCAACAATTAATTCAGTAAGATTATCAATATCTTTTTTATTCTATTTAAAATTTTTTAATGTTTATTGCTAAATAATAAAAAAAATACCTAGTTATTATTTTTGTCTATCACATTCTTTTGCTCTTCTATAAAGAAAAAATTTTAATAAATATAAAAAAATAATTTTCTAAAAGAATAAATTATTCTTTAATATTATTTTTACATTCAAAAGTTGATTTGCCTTCTATTATACGTTATCCAGCATATATTGCATTTATCAGTTTTTTATTTTTAATATTCATACCTTTAACATTTTAATTATAATATTGCTTGAAGTCTTATACTTAATCAAATTTGAGAGTTGCACTATTTTTATTTATTTATAAAAAGATTGTATCAAATATATTCATGTTTTATTGTATTAATAAAATTAATACTGTGAATTCTCGCCTAAAAAATTAACAATTATTTCCTATTTTCCAACAAATTATACCTTATATTATTATTATTTAAAAAATATATAAGAAATTAAATATATTTATTATAAAAAATTACAAATGATGGCCACCAAGGATAACCTTTTAATTTAGCCCATACAACTTAATTTTTTTTAATTGCTTTTTATGAACTCATTTTATTTTTATTTGTAATTATTTATATTTTTTTCTCCTTTATTTTGAATTCTTAATTTTTATTTTAATATATATATTATATTATATATATATATATATATATATATATATATATATATATATATATATATTATGTTTTTTTATGCTTAACTAGAAATTAAATTTTACAATAATTATTTGTATTTTTAATTATTTTTTTTCCCACCCCTAATATTATTTTTGTTTTTTTTAATTTACATTATTTTATTTCATTTAATTAAATCTTTGATTTTTATATTTTTTTTTTTTCATAAGAAACTACAAATTCAGAACTAAATAAAAAAATTATTTAAATATTAAACATATTAAAAAAAAAAAAAATAACATACACATATTTTAATTTAAAATTATATATATTAAATAATTAATTAATTTATATTAATATTTTAAAATAATTATCAATTAAAATTATATTAACAATATATGTAAAAATGATTTTATTTATTCATTAATAAATAAAAAATTTATATATTTTCTGATATTTAATATAAAAATTATAGTCATATTATATTATATTACCTATATTTATATCAATTTGTACTTCAATTATTAATTAATCTATTTATTTTTAAAGAGTATTTTTAGAATCATAAAAAATAAAACGAATATGATATTTGTATATATTTTATTATATATAATGGAATATTTATAATTATATAATTATTTTAATAATTAAAGTTAACCTGTTTTATTCTAAAACCATAAGCTTGTAAAGATTTTACATTAATGTAAGTCCATTAATAGTAATAACTTAAATTTTTTTAAAAAATATCAAAACAATAAAACACTAAAATATGTATATATAATTATATTTAAATATATTTTTTATATATAATATATTTAATTTTTTTTGATTTTTGTTTTTTTATTTTTATTTTAAACATAATTAAATTTGGAAAAAATATATAAAAAAATAAAATTTAAATATGAAAAATCTATTTAAGTTAAAATAAAAATTAACTAGTTTTAAAATATTATTCAATAAATTTATTTTAAATTAATAAATAAAAATAAAAGTATTTGAATAATTCTGGTTTAAAAAGGCATATATACATATTATTTAATTAACTTTATTAATATTAATTTCCTTAAATAAAAATTACTTAATTTACAAATTCTTTTTATATGTATTTTAGAATCAATTATTTTTTCCTTTTCCTTTTTATACTATTTATATTAAAAAATAATTACAATTATAAGAAATTACCACCATATATATGTTAAATAGAAAAAAAAAATTAATTTACAAAAAAAAAAAAAAATTAAAATGAGCAATTAAATACCCGAAATAAGTTTAAATCAAATAAAGCAAAATTTATCTTTTTAATAAAAAACTCCACTACATCGTTTGTAAACATCTTCATTATAAAGCTCGCCAAACAATTAAAAGGATTAAATGGTAAAACGTCAAATAGTTATATCATAATTTTAGTAATAGGCAAATCAATAAGATTAATTAAGTAATTTTTTTTAATAAAATGACCTTTAAATTCGTGAAATAATTAATAAAATAAGCTTAACTTTAAAATAAAAAGAATCAAAATTAAAAATATATTTAACTTATTATGGTATTTCAGATGAAATTTTCATATTTTATTTCACTTAATTTATTGAGTTTTCATGTGGAAGGGCATAAAGTTAACATTACTTTTTCAAAATAAGCGATTATATATATAATTTAGCTATTTAGATTATAAAGAATGACGAAGATGTATAAAATAAAGAAATTATTAATTTAATAGAATAAAATAAGGATAAAATTTTATCAAAAAATTTACTTGACTAAATATCAAGTAAAGATTTATTAAAAGAACTAATAAAAAAGGTTATCGAATAAATAAAAAAGGAAGTTCAATTAAGTGAATATATATTTCCTGATATGAATCCAGATGTTTAGCATATAATAAATATATTAGATGATATTTTTAGAGGAAATTTTGAAGAAATTATAAATATTGTTAATAACATTTTTGGAAAAAATAAATTTACTCATAGTTTTTTTTATTATTTTAAAAGTATTATTTATAACCTTTTAAAAAATTAAAACGTGTAAAAATAAATTATTTATAAAACTATTGAAAAAGTGGAGATTTTAAGGTTTTTTTTCTTTTTTTAAATTATAAAATAAAATAAAAAATAGATATGTAATTGTTTAAAATCATGAATGTTCTGATATTATTAAAAACATAGAATAACATATGTGTAATATTTTAAAGTCTGAATAAATATCAAAAAAAATTAATGTAAAAAAGTTAAATATATGATATTTAAAAAATAAAAAAGGAAACTAATTTTAGTTTATTAATCAAAAGCTTTATTAAAAATCTCATATTTTTACCAAAAATAGATAATTTAAAAGATAAAATATAGTTTTTGCTTTCAGATATGAATGATTAGAATTAATTTATTGATATATTTTATATTCATTTAAATGAATATTTACTAAAAGAAAATATATCGGAAGAGACCTTACACGAAATCGAATTAAGAAAAGAAAAGTTAAAATTAAGTCTTAAATTAAGTTAAAATTGCTTAATACAAGATTATTAAATAATTAAAGATTTAATTGGATATATTAAAAAAGGAATAAAAAAAGAAAAAATAGTAGGAGATGATACTTAAATATTAGAAAATCCTTAACTTATTTATTAATATTTAATATTCTTTAATAGCCCTTATAATTGCTAATCATTTAAAGATTGGATGGGAATAATTTAATTTGGGTATGCTACTACATGGTAAATAGGGGTTTGGTTCAGACATTTAAAGCTAGGATGTGTTAAATATAAGTTAAACTAAAATCTAATTAATTTAATTGAACAGGATTTAAACTTTATTCTAAAATTATGAAATTAAATAAAAAAACATTAATTATTTAATATATATATATTATAATTATTTAATAATAAATAAATTATATTTTATCCGCTATATTATTTTAATTTAATTTAATTAAATTTAATCTAATTTAATTTAATCTAATTTAATTTAATTTAATTTAATTTAATTTAATTTAATTTAATTTAATTTAATTTATAGATATATTTATTGTATCTAAATAGCATTTATAATATATAATTATCTTATTTAAACATTATAGAAAAAAAAACATTATTAAAAATATACACACGAAAATAAAACCTATGATAATTTGTGAATTAAATAAAAATTGTTCCGTAATCATTTATATTTAATCTTTTATAATTTATTAATGAAAAATAATTTAAAAGTATAAAAAAGAATAAATTTTAGATTTATATATATATATTTATTTTAGTTAGTATATTTTTTTTTTATTATATCCAAATTTTATATTTTATCCTTTTTTTTTTTTTTTGATTTATTAAATTCAAAAAAATACAAAACTAAATTAATTTTTTTAAAAAATAATATTAGACACATAAATAATTTTGATTTTTAATATAAAAATATAAAATTAATTTTAAAAATATTAATATATAATTATTTTTTTATAATATTAAATTTATATTTTAATTTAGTATACATATTATAAAATAAAATAAATTTATATATATAAATAAAATACGTATTTTATAAAAATAAATAAAAAAAGAAAAACTATAATTTTATACAAAACATTAAACTTATAAATTCTTTTTTTGAAGTATTTATTATTTTTGATGTTTCATTCGTTTAATTATAATTAAAGTTTAACTATTTAAATATTTTTTTATGTAATCGTTTTCATTAAATCTAAAGCCAAATTACTATCTATAATTTGAATTTCTTTTATTTATAAATCTTTATTTTCTACTATTTATTTTAAAATATCAAGCTATTTTTTTTTCATAAATTTGTTTTTATTTTTATTTAAGTTCATTACATAATTTTAAATATTTTTTCAAGTAATTTTATTCAAAAAAACTAATATATTAAGAAATATTACCATTTTTATTTACTTAAATAATTTATTTATATCCACAAGTTTTAATTTGATTATTTTACATTTTCTTTTCTTTTCAACCTAATAATATATTATTTTATTAACTTTTTTAAAAATATAAAATTATTTAATTTTCTAATTATTCTTTTTTTTTTTTTATAAGAAATTTTTTTTGGTTATATATTAAGACATAAAATTAATTTAAATAAAATATTGTATATAATTTAGAAAATTATTTGTAAAAATAAATAAAAAAATATATATTTAAAAATATAAATTATTAATTTTGTAACAATTATTAATAAAAATAAATTCATTCTCAAAAAAGAATCATATTTCTTTGTATATCTAATTAATAAATTTCTTTTCAAAAATCTATAATGCTTCAAACTTAATTTTTAAATAAGAACGTTCATCATCTTCAATAAAATTATATTAAGAATCATCTATGACTTATTCATCCTCATCTGAATCATCATAATTATCTTAATTACTTTTTTTAGAAATAAGTACCATCATAGATTTTTTACTTCTATAATAGAAAGACTTTACTTAATTGCATTAGAAATTAATCATTGTTTCCATTTATAATCCATTATCTTAGTTACTATTATTATCAAAATTCATTTAGCTATGACCCTATTATATAAATTAAATATTTTAAAATTATGATTTTTTTAAATAAATATAAATATAATATTTTATGGTTTCATAAAAATAAGTAAATTTAATAAAAATAAACTAACACTTTTTTACTTTTAGCTGATTTTACTGTTTTAATTGAATTAACAGAATTTCGTTGATTTAAGCTATTGAATTTTCTAATAAATTTTGAATTTAAAATATTTTAATGACCATATCTTTTCGAAGGATTAGGTTCAAGCATTTTTTTTAATAAATGCTTACATTCATCACTAAATCCTTCATAAATTTAACTATCATATTAAATTACACATTTTTGATTCTTTTCGAGGACTTCTCTACAATTCTTTCCTTTAAAAGGTGTTGTCCCAAAAATCAAACAATACATAATTACACCTACACTAAAAATATCACCTTTCTCAGTATAAGGAGCTGAAGAAAACATTTCAGGAGGCAAATAACCTGGGGTTCCTGATCTATTTTCAAGTTTATTATAGTTTATATATTCTGAAAATCCAAAGTCTATTAATTTACACTCAAAAGAATCTTTGCTTGTATATATTATATTTTCTAATTTTAAATCTCTATGTACTATTTTTTAATTATGCAGATGATTTAATGCTTTGACTATATCATATATCGTTTTTGATATTTCTTTTTCTTAAAAACGCTTATTTTATTTTAAACGTTAATATAATTCTCCTCCTTCAAGATATTCCATTACATATACTAATTAATTCGAATCTTGGTATACTTCTTCCATTTTTATTATATTTTTATGGTTTTATTTTTATAGAATCGAATGTTCATTTAAAAGCATTTGCTATTTTTTATTTTTTAAATTTTATTTTTATTATTCTTTTTTTATTTACAAAAAATTTATCTTTGTGTGTATTTTCTTACAATTTTTCCTTTTTTATTATTTTTGCGGCAAACAATTTATTGTCTTCCTTTCTTTAAACCTTATTTACATCTATTTATATATTATTATTATTTTTAATTTATATATTTTTTTTATTTTGGCTTTTTGTTTTAAGTTTAAATTTTATTTAAAATAAAAAAAAAATACTTGCAAATGCTCCAGATCCTAAAATTCCTAATATATTATAATATTCTTCAAAATTTTAAAGAACGCATTTATTTTTGATTTAATCGAACATTCTTTTA